ATACTAACTTTGATTTATGCTGAAAGTTTTGTGACACATGGACTTTTACTTTTTAAGCTGTGGGATTGCGCATTCTCTGACCATCCAACTTGTGCCAACTGAATCTCTTCGACATGGCTGGAATGGATGACTATGAATTACCTATGTTTCAGTTAACATTCTTTCATGTACAATAATAGCCCTCTGTCACAATATATGTATATTTATAAGTTCTAGTTGCTACGCTGACTTTTGGTTGTTTTGCTTTTCCCAAAAAATTAGACAATTACTTTATTCATAAATATGTTTTACCTTTACTCTCTGCTAATATGTAAAAGCTCAACTAGTCCAATAGACAATAGCATTCTATTGTTGCTCTGTTAATACATAATACCATGTAACACAAATATAATTAAAGTAACTGTCTAAAGTCTTTTTTTATGATCAGCATATTAGACTGGTTTTGGATAAGCAAAACAACCCAAAGTTAGCGAAACAATTAGATCTTTTAAATACACATATATGATGACAGAGAATACTTATGTTGTATAAAAGAATGTCAATTTAAGCATGGGTAGTTCATTTCCATCCATTCCAGCTAAGTCGAAGAGGTTCTGTAGTCAGAAGTTGGTTGGTCAGAGAATGCGCAATCCCAATAGCTTAAAAACTAAAAGTCCACGTGTCACAACACTTTCAGAATAAATCAGAGTTGGTATGAGCTACTTCCAGAATATTTCTTATCGAAATCGATGGAGACATCATTTCAGCAATTTCTAATAAAAGATTTCAAAAATTCATATATAAAATCTAAATTTTTTTGTAAATTTAAAAATACTAATTGTTGAAAGATGTCTTCAATGACCTTTTTCTGAACTCATGCCATGTTATCCATCTCACTTCCTTATCCTATTTATGGTGAGTATAAGATATTTCAATAAAGTATTTTTTTCTCTTAAACCAATGCCCGTACGTCAAAAATAGTGGATTTTTCGAATCACACTCATATGTAAAGGATGTATCGGCCAGACTACCGTCCCGGATACATTAAAGAACTTTTAAAGGCTTCCTATCGGGGAAGACCCCCTTGAGTTGATTTATTTGACAATGTTGGTGAAAGGCCAACATAACCTCAAATTTCATTTGTCATTTTACGGAAAACAGCGACTTCCCCACGTTCCAAACAAACTCAAAATGATTGCTTATGATAATTATGTAAAAGTGTTGACGTCGTACAAACACACTGAGTAAATCCAATTTCTTGTATTTATGTGCATTACAAGTTCGCGCATGCGCACAACGCCCTCACCAGCTCCAAAACTATTCTAAGTCCTAAGTGAACCCAATCAGAAACAATATTAAGAGAATGAATTTCGAGTGGTAATTACTTTGAAAGGCACGGCGGAAATGGCACATTTACGGTGGTCATCAGTTTTCGTTGAATTACACCCGGAGAAATGAGTTATTGACATTTCAAAATCCCCCATTTGCCACCACAGTTTTGAACTTTTCGCTACGCGCACAGAAATTATAAATCGAGTTTTCTCTAAAATTTGCTATCAAAGTCGAAAAAAACCTCTATTACGGCGTCATTACTGGGTAAAACCCTATCGTTTGGTATACTGCACTTGTCTGTATGTATTCCAGTTTCCTCCAGCGAAATGGGTCCTAACTTACACAGCACCGAGCACAATACTCGTTCTTCCACCTCCACGTAGTGATGTTTGGAGGGAGGGAGGTAAAGAACGAGTAAAAAAAGGGAAAAAAAGGGGGGGCTGTGAACCACCCTGTATGTTCGATATTAATTGTACATACTGCGGGAAAAAGTTGGACAAGTAATTTTTCTGGGTGGACAAATCCATGATGTTCGTAGCGAAGGCACATTGTTGCCAAAATAGCCCAAATTTTGAAGGGGCCTTGAAAAAGGTGTTATCTAACTTACAATCACAGAGTTGATAATTTTTCTGGGGTTGCCCTCCTGGAACAAGAGGAGTGTTAGGAGCACGAGTTGGAATAACAGGATGGATCCAGTGTTGCGGGTTTTCATGGTCTCTGCAACAATCCCGAACCGATCTGGCTCAGGTGGCTAAGTGGCAGAAGACGCACTCGCTGCTCACACTCTGTCTGTCGGACGCGTCCCCCAGCAGACCTGACTAACCGCTGGGTGCTGCGCGAGTGCACGCGCACCCAGATATCGGCCAGCGGCCGGCTGGCGTGCACACTTTTACACCACACAATACAGGACCTTTACTAGATCGGACGCAGGATATCAAACACAATACCGGTGTTGGCAAAAAACAAAAAAAAATGGGCGACCGGCCGGTAACGAGGGCGCGTGGACGACTGCGGACATGACCTGGGGGCCGAAGGGACAAAAGTGACAACTGCGGACATCGTCTGCCTGGACGGTAGAGACCTGCAACGAGCGAGCACTGGAGAGCAGCGCGCTGCGAGCCGGTGGCTGTGAGCAAAGTTGCTCATAGGGCCACGCGCCGTGTAGTCCGCTGGCTTTGAACCGAAAAACCCTAGAATACTGCACGTAATGACTCATCTTTCAAACTCTGCACATTTGTTCTAGGGTCCATTCTGAACGATTTGGCTCGAGCAGGCATCCGCTCCAACCGTGCAGACACCTGCTATAGGCAATTTTAGTTAGAAAGAGAGAGAGAGAGAGAGAGAGAGAGAGAGAG